AGTAAATAACATCAGCTTGGTTAGCATAATATGACATTTCCCACTCATTGTAAACTAAATTAATACAAGTAAAACTAAGTAATACTTACATTTACAAAAGATAGATCTTTATATACTTCTAAACTACTAAAATACTTCTACTTCTGCTCTTGATTGGACAGCATTAGATTACTAAAGACTCGCTAAATCTTTTAAGTTAGACAGTTGCTGTTTAGTTTGAAACTAGCTACTAGAACTTTACTTTACATTCAAACTACAAGATCAAAGATTTATCAATAGCTGGTGCAACCCAACCCTGGTTAATGCTGGCGTGTTAACGCACTACAGAGTTGGGGCATGCTAGTGCTCATCACAATAGTTTCCTGAGCTTATTTCTCTTTTGTCTGTACTGGACTATTCACTCCTCACTGACATTTTGTTCACAAGATCAGCAGTCAGTGTTAGCAGAAGGGACACTTCAAAGAGCTGGATAAGCCGAGCGTGACCTCTATAGCTTTAGACTAATGTTCCACTTCATGGCTCCCCTGTTCCCCCTTTTGAGAAATGATTACAGGGACCATACAAATCCTTTTCCCTGACCAAACACAAACACTACCACACGCACACACACAAACTGAAGTAAACATAAACAACGTCTCCCTCCACTGGGTTAAAGCTCGCAGGAACATGGATGAACTTGAATGTCCATAAATACATCAGATTTATTGCAGATTTTCTGCTTGATCTGCGTTTAATGTAGTAGACTGTAAAGTATCAGTGAGGCCAATTTCCACAAGCAAATTACTCGCTCGGGCTGAGTCCTTTATGCGTTTGCTGAGTGCTGAATTTAAAGACCATTATCATCCTGTTGGGCCAGGGTTTTGAGAGATCCCTGAGAGTCTCCCCCCCGGTGTGGAAACTGTTGACAATTCAGTGGGCTGTCTTTGTGATTAAAATGAATGTAAATTTGTCTTATCTATGTGTGCTCCTCTATTCTGCAGCACATTTTCTGTGATTATCAGTCAGGAAATCATAGTGGTGTTCTTCATTTGCATTTCTGAATTGGAAACACCTTCCTGATGCTCACAGGCGTCTGATTTCCAACCGCATAAGCAGAAGAGAAGTTTTATCAACATTTTTATGCAGAAATGGTAAAACATGAGAATTAACACCCAATTACTGAAGGGTCTTATAGTTTCATTTTGCAAGGATCATATTTATGAATGCAAATTTCATAAGCCAGAAAACTGTGCTGTGGATGAAATGGGAATCTATTACCCAACCATCATCCACACAGAAAACCCTCCACCACTCAAAAATCTGTCTCTCTTTTTGTTCCTACAGTTGGATGTTTGAGCTTCATTGTGCAGAATGATGTATGTGCAGAGTTTGACACTAGAAGGATGTTTTTATATCCATCTGCTTAAAGTGGAAAGTGTCTCTGTGCTCATTGAAAAAAAACGTTTTTATAGGGCGTGGCCTGCAAGGATGATTTGTGACATCACCAATAGTCATTCCTGGTCCGATTTGCAACTTACACAAGTGTGACGTAGAAACGTGAAGCCACATCAGACACACATTATTGTTCTAAGCAGACTATTTAGGTTTATGTCTTAATAAATGTCTGGAGGGGATATTCATCAGAGGGCCTTCTGGCTGCACGTTGTACATCATTCCAGCATTCTAAAACAACATTAACAACAGGAAAACATCAGCTGTATCATTATGAGCCATATAGATTAAACTCTGTCTGTTCAAATCCTCCAGTGGTTTAATAAATATGATGCCAAAATTCTGACAGAATAACCATGTAAATATAAATGAGGCTCCCTATATACAGATGTGCTTATGTACAGATAAGTCACACATTATCCCATAGAAATATAAACGCTCCTCTTGCCGCAATCTTTATAACTTTCCCCTATTAGCTCGTCTCCACACAGTGCTGCCTGAATAACCAGCTGTCTGGCTGGCCTCCGCTCCCGCATCCAGAAAGTTCGAACAAAATTCCCTCTACAAAGACAAAGTCAGTCAAGTGGGAATAAGAAACATTTACCATTTTTATGTCACTCATGAGAGTATTTATTTCATCCAAGCATCCACTGATCCACCCATCAGCTCTCCACTCACTTAGCTGCTGTCTGAACGAATAGAGGTGTTTAGAACTCACCTGTCCTCTTTTACCTTTATTCCAAAATGCTACTCTGAGTGACATCTTTTGACTTAAAGCGTTTCTGTAATAAACAGAAATAAGAACAACCACCATGACTGTCTGAAAAGGTTTATATGTGTGTGTCACCTCTGCATATGAAAAGCCCCGCCAGTCCCTCGTACATTGCTCTTAATCCTTAGTCCTTAGTCCCTACACATTTTGACACTGGATATTTGGTCTTACATTCGGTCAGAAATCCGATGAAATACAGTTTACATATTGTCATTATGAAAATTTTTGGTTGGTGTAATCACTTTCTTCAGGTGAAACAATATGTAGTGAACATATTATTCACAGCGAACATTGTTCTTCTCTTAGGAACTTCTGGGACTCAAATATTAAAAGATTTACAGGTACAAAGGTAAATCTTTTACAATATTTAAACATATAATGAACTTCTGTCAGAATCGCATGAGACCGATGGATGACAGAAAAACATGGCTATAACTCTTTCTGTGTAGACACATTGTAAGACTGAGTATTAATAATGGAGATGGTTCGGTGAGGGACAGCCTGGTAACAGCAAGTCTTTGCTTTGTCACTACCCAAACTCCAGTTCTTCACTTCAGTTCAGCAGAAAAAGCAGCGGGGCATGAAGCCAAGAGTTTCGAGCAAAAAAATGAAAGAAGGGAAGAGAGTGGACAAAGGATGTCCAAACCAGTTTGTGTTATTGGAGCGGCAACCAGGAGAGTCTTGGCACAAACACTAGTGTTACACCGCTTTTTACAGATGTTCCTTTACTCAAATCTGGACATACGTATTTTGATCCACATATAAATGTGAGATCAGTTTTCCATACTTGTCCTTATTCATGCTGTTAAATTACATCAAACGTAACATGTCTAGCACAGCGGAAATCAAAGTTATCCAATATTACTTGTTTATGTTGTAAAATGCGTCAGAGATATAATTTAAATACCAAACTTAGTAACATGGTAATGCACGAAACAGTCCATTACATAACAGAAGTATGCTTTCTGAGACTTTGGGCTTAGTTTGTAGAGTTTCTGGAGGGAAACAGTCTACTTGGTTTCCTGGCAGAAGCCTGGAGACAAGGAAGGCCATACGAGCTGCTGGACTCTTAATGGAAAAAGGATCATCCAAAAAGAGGTTTGTGTGTCTTATCAAATGCTGACCTCCTCTTTCACTCACACACATCCTGTGGCTCAGTCAGTGTGTGAGGAGAGAGGCAGAGATGAGGAGGACAGAGATGTGGTGTAGGGGAGCAGAGGCCAACATCATTTCTGGGCCGTTCTTCAAAACTCAGGATTACGTGAGACTGTTCATGACTCTCTTCGTGGAGTGAATATCTGTGGCTGCGTCCCATTTCTACTCCCTTTGTCTCACCACTTCCACATTGTGGGTATTAATACTGATTGTGGATTATTGCTAGTTTGTGCTGTTGTTTGACATTCAACTCTTTTTGGGCAAGTAACATGGAAGATGGAGATCAAATATTTTGTATGTATATGTCAACAACAAACAATGTGTATTTTATTGCTGTTTTGTCATTTTAAATAAATGTTTCAATGTACTGCTCTGTGTGTTTTCTTTATGAACAATTGAAACGTTAAACTGGTAAATATGTTGATTGTAACGGCTTGTACTAGCTGAGCTGAATACTTGCTTGAAACTTGAAGATCCCCTCCAGACATGTATTACGACATATATACAAATAGTCTACTTGGAACTATAACGTGTGTCTGATATGTTATTTCCACATTAAAATCCTCTAAAAGATCTCTGCTCTTTCTACCTCATGAATCTATGACTATGCACATTTTTGTTAATTTAATGAAGATGTCTCCTACTTCACTGTAGTCCAGCCTCAGTGTTTAGGCACTGGTGGATTCATGTTTCTACATCACACTGTACAAGTTGCATACTGGACCAGGAGTGACTTCCAATATGTGATGTCATAAATCACTATCGTAGGCCCCGTCCCTTAAAATCAGTGAGCACAGAGAAACTTTCTACTTTCAGCAGATGAATATGAAAACATCCTTCTAGTGTCAAACTCTGCACATACATCATTCTGCACAGTGAAGCTCAAACATCACCCTGTAGGAACAAGAAGAAAGACTGATTTGATTGGAGATTGAGTGGACTTCCAGTTTATCAGCATTCACTTTAGCTTCACTCAAACAAAGTAGCTTCTCTGTTATCAGTTAGTCAAACTCTTTAAGCCATGTTGGCTGCAGTTGGTGCCAGAGCTGTGTTATATGCTGTGAACCAACTTGTCCTAACAGCATATAACACTCATGGTATATTTAGCAAATAATACTTTATACAGGACTTGTGCCTGTAAATGAATGTGTTTTACACTATTACCACTTGAACTCAAGTAAAGGGTGTAAATACTTCATCCACCAGTGCAGTTATGCTGCTGTCCGTACAAACTCTCCTACTCTCCCCCTCTCGCGTACACACACACACACACACACACACACACACACACACACACACACACACACACACAGATGGAGGGGGAGAGTAGTAGCCTACAGGAGAGACAAGCGTGCAAAAGAAACAGCACAATAACCCCTCCACCACCACCAACAGTGTTCCTCTGAAGCACGTCAGAGGCAGCAGGCTTTGAATCGAGGTGCACAGCGGGGTGAGAAAGCACTTCTTGGGGACACAGCTAGGGGACAGCGCCGGTCTCCTGACTCGGGACTTATTCATTTCCCCCTACACACACACACACACACACACACACACACACATACACACATATATCCCGGGAAGCTTCAACTCCACAGCACGCCTGCAGGGAAACCATCAGGTACTGTATGCAGACTTTATCCACTTCTCTACCCGCTTCTCCATGAGCTCTCTGAGCCGGGGTGGGGTGGGGGATCAACTCTGTGGTAAAGTCAAGAGGCACGTGTTTGTTTTTGAAGTGGAAAAAGCGGTTCAAAGCATTAGATTTTATCTTTGCACAGGCAACTGTTTGCGTGGGCCAGTGTATGCATATTTAATCGAGGAGTGGGCAGCAGTAATTCTGGCTCACCAAGTGGGCAAGTACAGCAGGATGAGAGAGAGAAAGCAGCCATGCTCGATCAAAGGAGAGGGCTTTTGGTGACAAGTTTGCATCTGATCAGCTGGGCTCGACCCTCGCTGCTGTGCTTCTGGAGGCCTGGAAGAAGTTTGCATACTGAATTATTTCAGCTGTTATTGTTCGATGGGTTGCGTTTGTAGTGTAAAATATGGAGAGGGTGGAAGATAGAATAAATGCTGGGCAAACTAAAAGTAGGCCTTAACTCCTGAACAATGGAGAACGGTGGGGATCGAGCCTAGAAAATCCATTTTTTTCCGACTTTGCATTTCATAGGTTATTGAGCCAGGTTCTACTGACTGTCTCGCAGCCTCCCTTTCTTACTGTAAAGCCTCCAGGAGTCAGTGTGGAAGGCAGACAGGGGCAGACCAGGCGCCTTATATACAAAGCCAACACGTTTCACTCTGCAGCTGCAGCAGCTGAGCGGCGGTGAGCACCACCTCCAGCATCACCAGTAGCAGCAGCAGCAGCAGGTCGGGGAGGGTTTTTGGAGCACAGTTGGACCGACGAAGCAAATTGCAACCAGGCTCCAGGCTCGAGGACCTGTCAGAGAATAATGCTCACCGGTTGGTCGCCGGTCGCTGCCCGCCAGCGGCCCGGGGCTGTTGAATGAGCGGAGCTGTCCGTGGTGCTGAAAAAAAAAAAACCAGCCGCCGACAGACCGTCGTTGCTGCTGTTTCCAGTCGAGACGATACGCATGAACTGACGTGAATGCCGAGCAGCACCACCACATCAGCAGCAGCAGCACGCCAGTCCGCCGGTTAACACAGCAGCACCCCCGGCCAGAGTAAATGGGACCGCACGTCGTCCGAGCGTTAGAAAGATGGAGAGATTTTTCCTGCTCGTCCTCAGCTGTCTCTGCGTCTCCCGAGTCACAGCGGGTAAGTTTATGTTTATGTGCAATTAGAGGGATGTTTCCATAGATTGTGGAGCAGCAGCTCACAGACTGGTATTTTACTGCCTGATTAAACGAACCGTGGAGGGACACCAGAGGCATGTGTGGAACACTGACTGCTGTTTTGTGTTGTATAGATTTTAAGAGGTATTTTTGGGAGACGTTGCGTATAGTCTGTTGTGTTTGTGGAGAGGCTGACTGTGTTTGCTGGCTACTAGAGGCATTTCTGTGTTGTCATCTAATGAAACCATAAATAAATATATGAAGGGTTACAATTGGCTGTTGAACTATCCACATATGACAAATCGACACAGAAGCACAATCAGACAGTTGACTTGTACATTGATTAAGATTAGTGGAGCTGTTGACATAACATGTTATTGTCTGTCTCTTAAAGCAAAGCAGTGTGTGTGTGTGTGTGTGTGTGTGTGTGTGTGTGTGTGTGTGTGCGCGTGTGTGTGTTTGATGTGAGCCCTTGTTTGAAGCTGACCTTTGAATCTCATTTAAAGCAGGTACTTTAAACTGCTGCACACACACATTTCCAAGCTCAATGTTGACATGAGCTGTATATTAACACTGTCTGTCAGTGTGAAAATCTGAATATTGTATGAACATTTGTTGACTGATGATAATTGCTAGACATTTTTATCCATAGAGTACAAAATCTGACTGAAATGAGCTGCCACTGGCGTCTGAAAACACATGATTGGACTGCTGATGAGCGACAGTGGTCCTCTCATACAGATCCATGGAAACACCATTGATGCGTGTTGTGTGTGTGAGAGTGCTGACATACTGTATGTGTGTATCTATAAAAACATGTTTTTTTAAAGCCCATACTACACACACACACACACACACACACACACACACACACACACACTCACACCTTGTCTACTCACTGTAATGGAGTGCCACACTTCACTCCTGACACACTCCTGCCAGCGAAATGCACCTCTGGTTCACTCGACATCCTCCCACTCCTCAACCTTTCCACTGATGAGGGACTATGCTGCACACACTCACTAACACACTTATGCTTACACAGTTTACTGATACACACAAGTTACTTGCAGGCTCCCTGTGTTGTGTGCTTTTTTTAATCTCATTTCTACCACAGTAAACAATTATATACTCATACTGTAAAGAGACTACATAACGCAGTGATGTTTAGACAGAATTTCTATTATAGGCACTGGGGTGTTCATAATGGATGCCGGCAATTACATTATTATGTTTTAATTGAATGAGCTCCACTATATCAAGTACTGCTTGAGAAAAATATAGATTTATAAAATAAATGCAAGGTAGTCTTCATATTTTTAAATGTTGACACTTTATTTTAACTTCCTGTATTTGACACTACATTAATGATTTATAATGTGCCGTAACACACTCTAATGTAATTCTAAATTTAGATTGCTTTGTTGTATGCATTTTTGTATGCAAGTGTTTATAAATGTATTTATTAGTCCTCTAAACATCCATAACTGATGAATAAAAGGTTAATGAATGCTTGATAACACAGTATTAAATAGCTATAATCATACCGATTGATATTATGTTGCACATGTGATTAAATCCCTACAGTGCATTATAAAGCATTTATTAAGTGTTTATACACCAGTTACGGCTGTTTCATTAGAGAAGTTACAGTTTGAGACAAATATATTAACAAATACTTCAGCAGATAAAAGGACATGACATCTGCTAACGGCTACATTTTAGTGTTATAAAGCATGAATGAAATGTTTAAATGTTGCTTATAAATGCTAAAGAGCGGGGTTAAATTCAAGTATTACCTAATCATTTGTAACCATTGATTTGCGCAATATTACAAGAAGCATATTAGTAAAAATACAAAAAGTTAAAACAGCAAACTCTTGTTGGCACTATTAAAGGCTGCAGAACAGTTGGGTTGTTCCAGTCCCTTTTCTCAATGGACGAGAAGTCGAAGTTTGGCCAGGGACCTTTGTTGTATCACTCTCTCCGTAATTTCTTGTCATCTCTCGACTGCATAAATTGCCCCAAGATTGCTGCTAAAAAATGGAGATTTAAACATCTACTACTCCATGACATCAAAGTAAACTTCATCTGCCAATAAAGACAACGTGAAATGACCAAAAGCTACAGGACAGCTACTAAATGGACCTGCTGTTTTCAAGGTCAAGAATAAATCATGAACTCTTACTAAGTCCAAATGTTTAGAAGATGTGACCACTGAAGTGCAACTGCGTTGGATTCACAGTTCAGCTCCATTCAAGTTTTTGTCTCTGAGTTTATTTTAAGACTTAGTCAGACACCTGCACCAGGAAAACCAGACCAAATCGATGTTGAGGTGCAGAGGTTGACTGGCAGGAGTGAGTGGGTGTGCGCCACGGCACCATAAAATGTACACCACGGTGACGTCTTTACTGTGTCTGTGTTTATAGTAACTCATAAACAGTCGGTTGATCCTGGGAAATGAAAGGTAATGTTTCCATTTAAAATGTAAATTGCCTTTCTAACACATTCATCTAAATGAGGCCATAAATCCTCACAGGCAATTTTCCCCCAGCCCCTAACAGTCCTGAGTTTGGAGAAGGAACGGAACAAAAAAATCAATGAATCAATCAACAAATTGAACAGTGAAGCAAGCGGTGCAAAGGCTCCAGGCTACTCTCTGTTTGAGAGACGCTTATAATAATGAGTGAAGAAAGCTGAGTCTTTTTCAAGAGCTCAGAGGTTATTTTTTATGCTGTAAACAAAAGAAAACTCTAGGAGAATTTTGGCCCCCACCTGCCAGGTGATAAATTCTCTGTGAGTACAGCATATTATGTGTCAAGTGCTAAGCCATCTAGCATCTATAGAGAGGAGTTAGAGGCCTCAGCTGTGAGAGCCAAAGTTTGTAAAAAAGCTACCCATCTTCTCCTCTTTCACACCAAATTACCATCAAACAAGAAACAGACTCAGACTGTGAATATTTCTAAGCAGACAGCCAATCAGTCAGAGAGACAACATCGAAATTAATGTGGTTTCATAAGATTTTCTGTGCTATTTATCACACATGCAGCAGTTTCTACTTGTTTATGCTTTAAGGATGGTTTACAAAATTCTTAATTTTTCATTTAAAATAAACAGCCTCCAGGTTTCTGATGTTATTGTTTCCATATGGCCGTTTTGTCACATGCATGAAATGAGATGAGTGGTGAAGACGTGCAAAGTCCATTATGGGTGTGAGAGTATCAGCAGGCAGTGTGCAAGGCTTATGTTCATCACTGACACAATGATGTCATTAGTTTGACTGTACACATTAGAAACAGCACTGTCTTATGGTGTATTTTTAGTCCACTAAATGCCCTGATTTTATTCAAATGTGTGTCCTTTAGACCTGCTGGGTTTCTGGGGCAGCCTCTTGATTGGAGGGCTGAATCATTACTGTTCCCTTTGAGTAGGCACTTTAACAGGGTGAGGAAAGAATGAGAGGTGTGTGTGTGTGTGTGTGTGTGTGTGTGTGTGTGTGTGTGTGTGTGTGTGTGTGTGTGTGTGTGTGTGTGTGTATGAGTGCACATGTAAGAGTCACGGGGGATGCAGATTTGCCGACTGCATGTGATTATCTGTTCATTAGTTTCCCTCTAGTCAATTGTGTGGACACAATTAGCTGTTTGTAATTATTAGCTGTTTGTAATCTTGTTTTTTTTTTAAGGCTGTTTACTGCACACTTCAAGGAGTTTATTACAGTAAAGTTACAGTTCACCACATGGTCTCTGCATTTTCTTCTTCTTTCTTTTCTTTTCTTCTTACAAATATATTGCATCAGACTTGTAGGTTTGACGGGGAATTAATTGTGTGTAAGTACAGTATGTTTTGTGACTTTCACTGACAGTATTTGTTTATTTCACAGTGCTATTTCCACCATACTGTTTACAAGAACGCATAAATACACACTGGTACACAGTTAGGAAGGCTGCATCTCATAAATTCACCATCCATCTCACTTTATTTTAATGAGGAAAACAAGTGAGGGCAGCTCTTTGTTACTACTTCACTACAGAATCAGAGGGCAGCTTTTTTTTCTAAATGCACAATGAATGAAAATGTTTATTATTGTGTCATGCAAAGACAGGTACAAATTGCTGCTCATACATTTAAAACAATACTACAAAAAGTTTAAATAATTTTAAAAAATCAACTAATTTAAATATTTTTTAAAAATCGACTTATTTAAATAATTTTAAAAAATGACTAATTTAAATATTTTTTCAAATCAGATGTTTTGATCCTCTCATATGCTCTGTATAACAGTCCATCTTGGCTTATTGTCCAGGATTCTAACACAAGGCTTTCAAACTACAACAGATTCAAACTGAACAACCAATGCAGTTTTTTATCGTCTGTACATTGATGAGGAAATGGACACTCTTAAATCATTGTAGTTTGCACGATACCAAAGACAATGAATCACTATATGCACTTCTCCCAAATCCTGCAGCTCACACAATCTGTTTTCCTCCTGAATATCTTTTATTCTGCCAACCTCAAAACCAGAGGAACAATATCAGTTCTCAATGGTGCAACTATACGTTTGTTTAATAAGGATTTAAGTCCTAAATTTTGTTATCTTCAAAACAATTTTTGGCTGCATGCACATGCAAGTATTTTTGGTGTGCAAGTGTAGATCTGTGTGTAAATACAGTGCAGGCTTTAGAATATAAACATGCAGCTGCAACTAAATTATAAGCTTGACTTGACAGAGCTGCTGTATTTCTGGAACACAGAATTGGGGCTGTAAGAGAAAACAGAAAAAGATATGTTTAAGAAGTCCCCTTCTCCCTGTAGCTTTGCTGTTGTTGTGTCAACACTGCCCAGATAATCTGCCTTCATCTTTCTCACCCTCACCTGTCCTCTTACGTAAGTGTCGGTACTGCTGAGTGTTTATATCAACATACTACTGCTGCTGCTCTTTTCTCTGGAACCTGTCAGCGGGTTCAGAAAGCCCCTTTGAGT